GTGATTAATCCCGTTGCGCCACGCCAAGTTACGCTCATTTTCTTCCATGCCTCAAACCTTAAAAGCCAAAATTGTCCAAAACCAGTTTTCAGTCCTTCCATATCATCTTAACCAACCTTGCATTCAGACACACACATAGACATAGTTTTTGGAAAGTAAAAAAAGGATCCTTGGTGCTGTAAAAAACTGTCACATATAAATGTTGTTTTGAATTATTTGTCTAAAAGATATGTAATTCATGATTATTATATTTGAATATGAAGATGAATAGTCTAACATTATGTGTGTGTAAATTTAAAATTACTTTTATTACCCGAGAATCACATTAATTCCAGACATATTTCTTTAAAATTGAAAATAAAATTATATTGTAAAAATAAACTGTTCAACACACCAAAAAATGAGAAATTTTTTAGATATATATTTTAGGAAGTAAAAAAAGGAACTTTGGTTTTGTAAAAAATTGTCACATAAATAATGAAAATTTTATTACTCATGAAACTGTATCCTCTTATACATTATTCATAATAACAATGTGCATACAAGATCCTCTTTATAATTTAAATCATAATAAATTAAATAAAAGTTACTGACATAAGAAAAGAATACATTCTGTAAATGGGAATAAATAGGTACTGTCTTCCATGGGAATAAAAAGTTATTGTCTTCCATTTCAAAAAGGCCACAGGAAAACACACATATGGGGGTTCTCAATGAATCGCATCCCCAAACAATTCTCATTTATATGGATATAAAATAAATTAATAATTTAGACATCCTCATTTATATATAATGAATATATAGATATATATATATATATATATATATATATATACATATATATATATATATATACATATATATATATGTGTGTGTGTGTGTGTGTGTGTGTGTGTGTATGTATGTTTAAAGATCTAATAAATAAATACTTAAAGCTCTATACATCTAAAGAATATATAGATCTCATGATGTAAATCGGAAGATATATGTATGCGAAGAACAAAAAACAATAAATATCACACAGTTTAAAACTATATTCGTTTTAATTAAAACAAGATTAAATCAAACCTGTGACAAACAATCCAAAAATTTGAGGTTGAACAAAACACAATTGGAAATGAAACCATGTTTGCATCGCCAAGAACAAAATGGTTTTTTGGTGAATATATGAGAGAGAGTTGGTAGGAAAGTGGCGACAGATAGATGAAGACAGAAATGAGAGTTCAGAGAGATGGTGGAGAGCGGCGACACAGATGTGAAGACGGGAAGAAGAGTTAGGGTTAGGAAATTAGGGCTTTTATATTTTTTCATTCTGGGCCATTAAAAAATGTTGGGCCTGTCGATTTTGTTGGCTCTTAATGCCTGGGCTTGCTTTTATTTAATAATTCTCTCACTGAATATTTGTCTATTTTTGATTTTTTTATCAAATATAGTAAACTTTGATTTATAATTAAAAAAATTATATTCAATATTAATGAAAAAAGTTTTATTAGATTTGTTATACTACCTCCGTCCCAGAGTATTTGTCCACTTTTATTTTTACACACCATCCAATGCACTTCTTTAATCCATTTTATCTTGTAATTTGTATATTAAAAATTATATAAATTATATATTAATAATCTATATGTTAAGATAAATCAAACAAGATC